AGCCATTTGCCTTTGGCTGCTTCCAATCTTTTTTTGGGTTTCTGAATAATCACCTTATCTGTCGACTTTGCTTGGCTATTTGCGCTCATATGGTATGGTGAAGAGGTGATCCTTTTGATTTTCAAATCCTCAAGGAATTTTGTGACCTTTGCGCCTTTGAACTATGGCCCGTTGTGGCAGGCTATCTCCTTTGGTATTCCGAACCTGTAAATTATGTTCTCCCCCAGGAAATCAACCACTTCGCGCTCGCTGATTTTTCTGGTAAGGACCTGCTTCAACCCACTTAGAGAAGTAGTCATTTAAAATCAAAAGAAAACTTATACCAGTAGCCGACGGTACTATGTCCATCCCCCATTTCATGAATGGCCATGGCGATAGCATCGAATGTAATAGTTCTACTGGTTGGTGTACTAATGGAGAAACGAACGCCTTAGCGTCTTGTTCCATTTGGGGCCAGTAGTAACCTGCCCTAACTAATTTTAACACTAACGAGTCCGTACCTGAGTGATTTCCACGGACTCCTTCGTGAACTTCTCTCATGACGTAATTGGCCTTAGAGGCTTCTAAGCATCGGGCCAATGGGCCTTGTAATGACTTTCTGTATAACTGGCCTCCCCAGAAGCTATAGCGAGCTGCTTGGTGCGGAGTGCCCGGGATGCACTCGGATCTTTGGGCAGTTTGTTGTGCTCGATTTAGCCGATGATATCATTTCTCTAGTCCCAGACCAAATTGGTCACATTTACTTCATAATAACCGCCCACTTCTAATTCTGAATGCATGAGCTGTACGACTGTACCAGAATCTGATCCTTTCATTTCCGTGGACAAGCCCAAATTGGCCAGTGCGCCTGCTTTTGTGTTTTCTTCTTTCAGGATATGGGTGATTGACCAGTCACTGAACTGTGCGAGCAGAGTCTGAATTTTTACCTCATATTGTTGCATGCATTCCTCTCTGGTGTCAAATATTCGGCATACCTGATTTACTATCGGTTGGGAATCGTTTGATTTCAATTATCTCGGAGTCTAGTCCCCGGGGCAATTCAAGTCCTTCGATCAAAGCCTCAGTTGTAACGACTCGGCCAATCTTCTTGAGAGTTAGAGTCTCGATCCCCTATTAACTGCTTCCCCCATATCTATTTCTACTATTGTCACTTTCTCGGAGGTTTTTATTTGGTTTTTTGAAGAGTTTGGTACACTTAGTCCTTAAATGGAGGTCTAAGCCTTAGGATTTGGACCGTAGTCGGAACTGTGTGAAGACGACTCTGAAATGGAGTTCCGTCGATTCTGTTAGCTTAATTGAGTGATTTTTGTCTTAAAGGCTTGTCCGGATTGTGTTTTGGAGGTCCATAGCTCATTTATGCTTGAAATGGCGAAAGTCGATTTTTTGGAGTTTTTGACCGGTAGTGGAATTTTTGATATCGGGGTTGGGTTCTGATTCCAAAAGTTGGAGTAGGTCCGTAATGTTGATTGAGACTTGTGTGCAAAATTTGAGGTCATTCGGATGTGGTTTGATAGGTTTCGACATCGATTGTAGAATTTTGTGGTTTGAAGTTTTTTAAGTTTGAATTGGAGGGTGATTTGTGATTTTAGCGTTGTTTGATGCGATTTGAGGGCTTGGATAAGTTTTTATGGTATTTTAGGATTGGTTGGTATGTTTGGTTGAGGTCCCGGGGGCCTCGGGTGAGTTTCGGGTGTTGAACGGACTAGTTTTTGGACTTGAAAGATAGCAGACGTCTGGTGTTTTTGTTGCAGACAATCCTTCATCGCATTTGCGTGAGATGTCTCGTGATCGCGTAGAGCATCTGGAAATGCAGCTAAGTTGTTCTTCGCGTTCGTGATGTCTTTCCCGTGTACGTGAAGATGTGGGAAATTAAGCCTACACGTTCACGATATGGTCCTCACGTTCGCGTAGAGGAACGGGGCAGATGGAGCTTCAGGCATTAAGCCTACGCGTTTGCGAAGAGGTTCCCGCGTTCGCGTAGGGTCAGTCAGTGAAAGGTACGCGTTCGCGAGAGGACCCTTGCATTCGCGAAGGAGAAATTGTGGGTTAGTAAAAGATTGTTCATCGCGTTTGCGATGGTGATGCCGCGTTCACGAAGAAGAACGTACCTGGTCAAATATAAACTTTTCAAAAATGAGGGTTTGCCATTTTTATCAAAACTTGAGTTTGGGAGCTCGGATTAGGACGAGATTTTGAGGGAGTTTTAGAGATATCAATTGGGTAATGATTCTTGACTTGATTTTGGTTATATCCTACTAATATATCATTAATTTTATCATTTAATTTCGGATTTGGGGTGAAAATTGGAAAAAATTGAGAAGAGTTCTTAGACCGAATTTCGGGGTTTTGATCGAGATTTGGTACCGGATTTGAGTAAATTTGATTTGGTTGGACTCATGAGTGAATGGGTATTGGTATATTGTGACTTTTACCCGAATCTGAGTAGTGGGCCCGGGGAGGCTTTTTGGGCAATTTTCCAATTTCTTGCCTTTGCTTTGATTTCAATAGCTAGATTAGTTTCTTGTAGTTATATTTATGTCATGTAATTGGTTTTGGCTAGATTTGGGCCATTCGGAGTCGGATATTTGTGGAAAGAGCATTGTGACAGATTGAATTGAGCTTGGTTCGAGGTAAGTGGCTTGCCTAACCTTGTATGGGGGAACCCCCCTTAGGATTTGGTATTGTTTGATATGTGTGTGCCGTGTATGTGAGGTGACGAGTACGTACACAGGCTATTTATTGTAAAACTCCATTTTTCACTACGTCATAACCTGTTTCTCCTTATTTGAACTACACTAGCATACGCAACTATCCTATTTAGTTTAGAATAGCATGCCTTCATGTTTTAACTGCCTATTTGAACTCTGGTGCAGCATGTTTAGTAGAATTACATGCTTCCCTTGATTTGAACTTAGTCTAGCTGTAGGTTTTCTTGTTGTAACTGTTATTTCTGTTGGTTGAGCTACATATTTACTTTGGGACTACGGAACGGTATTTTGGGAGATCCACCTGTACTACATATTTACTTTGGGACTACGGAACGGTATTCCGGGAGATCCCCCTATTCTGCATATTTACTTTCAGACTACGGGACGGTATTCCGGGAGATCCTCCTGCACATTTATGTTTGGGAGTACGGACGGTATCTCGGGATATCCCCTGTTGTTATCTCTGTGTTCTGAGTTGTTGTCCTCTATGATTTCATTCCTATTAGATTTCCGTATTTATTTGTACTACGATATTTCATTCTGTCTTATTTCATTATATTTATACCAGTAGGGCCCTGACCTAATCTCATCACTACTCGACCGAGGTTAGGATTGGCACTTACTGGGTACCATTATGGTGTACTCACGCGCTTTCCTGCACATGTTTTCGTGTGCAGATCCAGATACCGTTTATCAGCCGCATTACTAGTGAGACGAGCCAGCTGTACAGACTTCAAGGTATATCTGTCGCGTCCGCAGACCTCGGAGTCCCTATCTATTCCTCCCTATGTCAAACACTTCTTGTATTTTCCTTCTTTTATTAGACTCTAGAGTATGGAAGTATTGTTTCTTTCTGTAGCTTGTGACTTATGACATTCTAGATTTTGGGAGAGTTTATGTACTTTTTGAAAGTGATTATTGTATATGCCGAGCGGCATCTCATTTCCTTATTTAAATTTACCTGATAGTTGATAGCTTTTATGTTTTAGTTCCCTTTTCCGCAATGTTAGGCTTACCTAGTCGTAGTAGGTGCCGTCATGACGGTTCACGAAGGGAGAACCTGGGTCGTGAAATCATACTCGGCTTCTTTGTTAGTCAAGGGAATAGTTTTTATGGCCTGGCTCAGGGTTCTCCTGAGGGAGAAATTAATAATACCCTGATCCCAAACCCTTTCCGTTGGAAGCTCCGTCCATGAATAAGGTCCAAACTCCTGATGTCATTTTTGGCGCCATCACCGCTACTTTGTGCCAAAAGGCAGCAGTCTGGGACTAAAATCGGGAATGAAGTCGTCCAAAACTTTTGATTCGATCGCAGTCCTTGGTTTATACTCGATGTCAAATTCATTCATTTTGACTGCCCACTTGGCCAGTTGACCTGACAATTCAGGTTTGTGAAAAATATTCTGCAGGGGAGACCGTGTCACCACGGCTATCGCATGGCACTGAAAATAAGGCCTAAGCTTTCGAGCAACGACTACGAGAGCTAAGGCCAATTTTTTGAGGTATGGGTAGTGAGTTTTGCTCCCGTTAAAATTTTGCTAACGTAATAGATAGGAGATTGGGTATCTTCGTCTTCCCGGACTAGAACGGCACTTACCGCTACCTCTGAGACCACTAAGTAAATTAGCAATTGTTCACCCTCCTCTGGTTTTGACAGTAACGGAGGGCTTGATAAGTACGATTTAAGGTATTTTAGGGCATGATGGCATTCTGGAGTTAATTCGAAGTTCTTCCTCTTCTTTAGAAGTTAGAAGAAATGATGGCATTTTTCTAAAGACCGGGAAATGAACCTGCTTAGAGCGGTCAGTCTTCCAGTTAACCTTTAGACTTCCTTCACATTTGTCAGGTGGTCGGGAATGTCCTCGATGACTTTAATTTTATTGGGATCGACTTCGATCACCCTTTGTGACACCAGAAAACCCAAAAAATTACCAGAGCAGACTCCAAATGCACACTTTTTGGGGTTAAGCATCATATTGTGCTTTGTTAGGATGTCAAAGGTTTCCTGGAGGTGTTTCAAATGGTCACCTACATTCAAAGACTTAACTAGCATATCGTCTATGTAAACTTCCATTGTTTTCCCTATTTGTTATTTGAACATTTTGTTCACGAGCCTTTGATAAGTGGATCCGGCATTTTTAAGCCCGAAAGGCATCACACTGTAGCAATATATGCAAAAGTTCGTTGTGAACGAAGGCTTTTCCTAATCTTCCGTGTTCATTTTGATTTGGTTGTACCCGGAATAGGCATCGAGGAAACTCGTGAACTCATGCCCGGCCGTTGCATCAATCTTTTAATCAATGTTTGGTAATGGGAACGAGCCTTTTGCGCACGTCTTATTCAGAGCTTTATAATCTACGCACATGCGAAGTTTATTATTCTCTTTCGCAACTACCACTCCGTTAGCCAGCCAGTCAGGATACTTTACCTCCCGGATTGAACCGAAATCAAGAAATCGAGTTACCTCTTCTTTGACAAACCTGTTTCTAACCTCGGCAATCGGGCGCTTCTTCTGCCTTACCGGAGGGATGTTTGGGTCCAGGCTTAACTTGTGCACGGCCACCTCTAGCGGAATACCTGTCATATCCACATACGACCATGCAAAACAATCAACATTAATTTTAAGAAATTCTATAAATCCTGAATTAAGCTTGGGGTTTAATCATGTCCCCAAGTGGAACTTCCTTTCTAAGAACTTCTCGAATAATGCGACTTGTCGAGTTTTTCCACTGTGGATTTGGTTGCGTCCGTTCCTTCCGTTACCTGAAAATACCTTGGTACCTGTTGGGATTCTGACGGCTCCTCCCCTTTGTGGACTTTGTTTGATTCCGGAGGGGGCGTCAGTTCCTGTAATTGTTGTTGATGGCCAATTTTGACCATCCCTTTTAAAATTAATTTACTTATACTTAATAATTTACGATAAATATTTAGAAAGTAATTATAAATACCTATTTCTATAAATCATTTAATTATTAGTTTCGAATTTAACACATAGTATTAGCTTATTGTAATTACAAAATACTTACTATTTTAAGATTATTAAAATAACTTTTACATCACATAAGCCTTATAATTTATTTGACAAATTACTCCTTAATTCATAGTAAATTAGGTTACTGTGTTAATATTTTGAATTTAGTGCTATAACTCGAAAAATAAAGTATTTATAAATAATTAATTAAAATAATTAGTAGTATATTTAATAATCATAATTTTACTATATCTTATTGAAAATTATTAAGATTATTTAATTTAATTTAATTATAAAAGGGATCAAAAGAGGCCAAAGGCTATAATTGCAATTCTCAACTAAATATAAAATGCCTATTCATTAAAGCAATTTTAGCCCAAATGGCCAAGCCCAGTCTGAAAATACCCAGCCCAAACAATCTTTTCAATCCTTGTTGGCAATCCGTTTTTTAAACCGATCACAATCTGCCTCGTCACCCGCATCCGATACTCACAAAACAAACACAAATCATCTGGGTCATCTGTTTCTTAAATCACCGACCCATGATTTTTAACTCTGTTTCCTCTTTAATTTTTTTAAGCACCCAGAGATTCAATCTCAACCATTAGATCACAAGGATCTAACGGCCATCAAAATTACCTATAAAATCATTTAAACCCAAAATGTCTAGACCGTTGATCTTTAAGATCAACGGTTCAGATCCCACCTCCCTAACTTAAACCTAGAGACACCTCCTGAATCTCCCAAACCCTAATCATTTCTTAATTGACTCTGCTGCCTCTCTTTCCTTTTCCTCTCTAAGTTCTCTCAACCTTCCATGAAAGAATCAATCACAGACCTTGCACAAATTTGTGCAAGGTCACAAATCTTGACCTAGAAATCATTCCTTATGCTTCCCTACCCGCAATTCTCGCCGTAGCCCCCATTTTATCATAGAGACTCAAAATCTCGAGTCTTCTGACCCAAACACAAAGATGAAACTCAAGTCCTCATATTTTTATATGATGCGACACAAATTAGAGCATGCATGAGCTCCTCATGATGATTATTCTGAACCAGAGGTCAAATGCAATGACCTCTGGACCTCCGATCTTTACCCGATGGATTCTTCACTTGTAACGGATATCGTGCACTCAGGTAAAAGCTTTATTTACTTTTCTCTCCGATTCACTCTGATTTCACTCTGTCTCTTTAGATTTTTCCAAATCTTGCTCACATCATCTACCATTCGTCACTTTCCACTCATGATTTTGAGTTTGTTAAAACCCTAATGCCTTAATAGCACTATAAATAGGGCCGTTAATATTCTCACCTAACATCACACTCACGAATAACCACCGAAGAAAACACACCAAGAACACTTAACAAAAGCAAAAAAAATTAGTATAGTAGTTTAGAATTTCTTCGACTAAGGCTAAGTTCTTACTCGATTTCTGGTTTGGCTCTGAGGTACTCATCGGTTGATGTTTTGAGTTCTTGGATCCTAAACGGCTACACAAACTCTTATTTGGTTTGTTGCCCTAGAGAAGGTCAGTACACCTTCACCCTCTTCTCTTTTAATTGATTTACTTGAATACTATAAACATCATGTTTCTTTCTATTAACTGTATTAGCTTATAATGTTTGTCATTAGTATAGAAATGTTATTTTCAGTTCATGATAAGATGTTGTTCAGTTGTGATTATTTGTTATGATCTTAAGTATCCTTGAATAGTGTTGATTGAACTGTATGTGACCTTAATAACTTTCATTTCTGATCTCAAATAGCCAATATGATTAAATCTCCTTAAATATATTTTAAATGACGTCTCATACTTGCCTAGGCTTCAGATTTTCTATCAATGGTTCTATTGTGATCTTTATCTCTATACACTATTTTCCTGCATTCTTGTGGTCGAGACTATTGTTTAATAATCCTTATTAGGACAAAACTTGAAAGTTCATAGTTTAATCCTTCACTACTTAAGTGAAACATGAAAACTAAGTGTTTAAGTGCTCTCCTTCTCCATATCTGTATCTGTTAACTCTAAGAGCAACTTCTAGGTTATTTTGTTCATGTCTAACTGTTGGTCGCATCTATATTAAAATTGTCTTGTTTAGGTGAACTCTCCTGAACATTAGTAATCCATCTACCTATATTTTGTTTTTACTAGATTGTCTTTTACAAAATAGGTCATAGTTGTATTTGTTATAAGTTGAATGGTAGTTGTTGTTAAGCTAGACATAGTTGCCTCATGTTGAGATGTAACTCTCAGTTGCATAGCTGAGTTAAAACCTGCTTGGAACAACACTCTTCTTGTCTTTAAATGACATTACTGACTTTGTGAAGCTTACCCTATCTTTGTAAGATCATTAAAGTATCCATGTGTAGTTGATTTCAAATGTTGTATGTTCCCCTGTTTGACTTCATGATTCCATGCTTTTGTTTTGAAATTGTACTCAATCCTCTCTTTCCTTCTAATTTGAACTAAATTTGATTTTTTTTAAAATCCTATGAGAAGTTCTTTTATTACTGCTGCCTAAATATAATGGTTTGCTTAAGGTTAATACTATTATGATAATGATCCTACTAAGCATCTTTAAGAATTTCATGTTTGAATCTGTGAGCTTGTAGTCCTACTAAGAATCATGATCATGTTATGATATTTTGATGACACCTATAGAAGTTGTTTGATGTGACCGTTTGTCTGAATCCTTGTTAATGCTTTTAAGAATTCCAAGCAGAGTGATTAGTATGCATGTGCTAGTGGCAAGACCTAAGCTAATCCACCCATGATTAGTCTGCCAAGGTAGAAGTGTCCATTTCTGGGTTATTGCATACCTGAGTTTTGTGTTCTTTACCTTTTCTTTGAATGTGATCCTAAGTGCGTAGATCTTTAACAATAATGCTATATTGTCTCTGCCTCCCCTCTCCCCCATATGTGTTTGAAATCTGACCTTTAGACTTGCTTAATATGTGTATTATTCATGTAATATTAGAATTGTAGTTATAAAGTGAAACTGTTTTTATGCCGTTATATTATTCTATCAAAGGAAAAGTATATTTCTGTGGTAGAGGATATTATGGTAGTTGGTTTACATTGAAAGAGGCTCATTGGCACTTAAACCCATAAGGAAAAATGAGTGGTTAATGGTTAAGAATATTTGTGAGTAGAGTTTAACTCTAGGTTGGGCTGCTCTCACCGGCACAAGCATTGCCCTGGGCGTTTGTTTATGTGTTTCATACATAATTGAACATGCATAATACATATCTAATGACCTTCTTTTTTAAACATGTACATCTGTTTGGACCTGCTGAGTTCCTAAAGAACTCAGGCCCAAGCCCAGCACTGCTGCATTTTTCTGGACGTCTGAAGTCAGTTGTAGGCACATCCTTTACTGCTGAGCCTGCCTCTTTAAGGCCCAAATACCAGAGTCCAATCCTCTTTCTCTAAACTCCTATTATTATTATTGCTTCGCGACCTTAGCCTACTACCTTGTTATGCTTTGTTGCACTTTGTTGTCGATTATTCTATCTTACATGTACACAACACTTATATATTGGATTACATGCTTTACTTTATACCTTACGTCATATAAAACTTAAGAAAGCCTTAAATGACATAGGATTTAAAATAATTAGTTAGTAACTAATCTTGCACTCGCTAATTACAATTTGTTTATATCTTTACGATGTTTTCGCTCACCTTCTTGTCTTAAAGATTTTGAAGTCCAAAGCTTAGAAAAATGGAAGCCCCAATTTCAAAAAGAAAAATCAGATCTGAATCGCAAGGGGAATCAAATTGTTTCAAGTAATGAAGTGTCACTCCCCTACCCCCCCCCCCCCCCCCGCAAAAAAAAGAATTTTCAAAATGGCTCTTCTACAAATCTAAAAGATCAAGGTACATTTAGGCCTACTTATGCTTTAAGACAAGTGTTTAATTTAGTTCCCCTTTTTACATACTTTCTTAAGTACAAACATCTTATATCTCTTTTCAAAAAGCTCTTTTCAATCATGTGTGCACTAATGTTACTTTCCTCTATAAATTCATACTCTTTTTAATCTATACCCTCCCTTTGTAAGAATTTTTTCCTAATATATAGTAAGCCATATCTTTGGAACGTTAATTAAGGCATAGTATATATAATTAATTTCAAATCTAGTATAAGTCCCATGGAGCTGCCTTAGATAGATTTTAAGTGGTGCCTAATACCTTTCCATTAGAAGAACAAGAACCTTTATCCATAATTTTACCGGTTAACAGACTAATAAAGAATATGATTTAGTAATCAAAGTACCCTAGTATATCTTTAAATATTAGGTGGCAACTCTTTTTTATCAACAGAGGAACCACAAGTTGAATCTTGTTTTGACTAATGCAAAATTGGGTGCAGCAATTGGTATGCCGCATGTTCCTTCCCTTTACTACTGGAAACCGTGATAGCGTTCATCTCCCTTGCTGCCGGTTGATCTCCTCTTATTTGTTTAATTCCCTATGGAGTTGGGAATTTTAGGAGTCGATGGTATGTTGATCGCACAACCTTCATCTCGTGTAGCCATGGTCCGAGAATAGTGTTATAGCCCATGTCGCCGTCTACTACTTCAAACAAGGTAGTCTTCATGACCTCTTCGGTGTTTGTGGGCAGCATGATCTCCCTTCGTGTTAACACACTTGCTAAGTGAACCCGACGAGGAGCTTTATGGCCGGGATAATGCTTCCGGGTAGCTTGTCTTGCTCCAGCACTCTCCATTGAATGATATTGGCTGAACTTCCCAGGTCCACCAAAACACGTTTAATTTTAACATCTAAAACAATAGAATAAATTACCATGGCATCATTGTGCGGTAGGAGGAGTCCATTGGCTTCCTCCTCTGTGAAGGTGATATCATCCTCGGTGACTTTCCGGAGTCTCTTGCTATGAGTCACCGATACCTTTGTCTTTTTTGCTGCTGAAAAGGTTACATCATTAATCTCGTTCCTCCTAAAAATCATGTTGACCACTAGTCGAGGAGGATCTTCTCCTATCTTTGAGGGCTTTGTGTTATCCCGGTTGCGTCCATAGTTATTTTTAGACCCGTATCTTAAGAACTCTATGAGATGGTCATTTTTCAGCAATGTCACCACCTCCTCGCGCAGATGTCTACAGTCCCCAGTCGGGTGGCCGTTATTCCAATGATACTCACACTATAGATTAGGATCCCTTTGACTGGGATCAGACTTCATCAGCCTCGAGAACAGTGCTTTCTTAATGTTCCACATCGCTGATACCAGCTGTACCATGTTGACATTGAAATTATACTGTAACAGTTTGCGTATGTGAATCCCGGGAGCCTAATATCTCTTTGTCCTGCAATGATCTTTTATTCCAGCCACGGTCAGTTTTCCTATCGGTAGCAAACATGTCCGCCGATCAGAAACCTCTTTCGCATCCTTCGGCCCTTTCGTAGGGCAACAATCGGCCCTTAGAAGATCGCCGATTTGTGTCAAAATCTTCCTTTGATTTATCCTTGTTCTTTTCCCGACCCTTGGTTGATGCCGTACAACCGAGTTGGGTGTCTTCTATTCTTATCTTTGACTCGTAGTAGTTTTGAACTTCTACCCATGTATTTGCTTGGAACTCAAGCAGAATTTCTTTCAGCTTCCAAGAAGCGTCGGAGCTGCATCCTTTCCTTCTGAAACCTGGTCACGAACTCTCGTAGCAATTCAAACTTTCCTAGCGCAATTCTGAATATGTCGGCCTTTCGAGCCTATACCTTCCTGGCTCTGGCATCGGCCTTGATGAAAGAATCCGCGAGCATCTCAAATGAATCTATTGAATGCTCAGGAAAAAGTGAATATCATGTCAGGACCCCCTTCGTCAGGGTTTCCCCAATCTTCTTCAGTAGAACCAACTCAATCTCATGTGGAGCTAAGTCATTTCCTTTCACCGTTATTATGTAGGTGGTGATGTGCTCCTGTAGATCCAAAGTCCCATCATATTTTGCTACGTTTGGCATTTTGAACCGCTTGCGGATTAGCTCTGGTGCTGCGCTCGATTTGAACGTCAACTGGGTGTACTTCTTTGAGTTCGGTCACTTCAACACTGGCAGTGCACCCGGAATTTAGTCTATTGGGACGTTTATTTTCCTCATTGATCGCATGAGCTCGGTTTTGAAAGGATCATTCCCGTTGTTTTTACCAGATCCGTGTCGTTCCCCCCGGCCCCATCCAAGCCGACCTCACCCCTCGGGGTGTTATTATCAACCCTTTGCACTATTTGATTTGCTGGAGCACCGAGAGGAACTAGACTTATTCCATTCGCATTGTTGGAAGTATCCGACAACGCTTGCCTCAATTCTGTCATGGCCTGGTCTTGCCGTGAGAGATGTCCCATGATGTCCTTTTGTTGTTCTCTCAAGATTCTTACCGTTTCCGCAACATGCTTGTTTTCGGCATCATCAAGAGTCGTCTCACACTAATGTTGTGGATATTGCCCGCCATGATCAAGGACCAACTCAATTATGCAATTGTCTAAGCCCTAGGGTGGGCGCCAAACTGTTTATCGTAAAATAGTACAGTTGAATTTATAACATGGTTTATAGACAAGCGAATCGATTTGATTCCAAAATGATAAATAAATTAATAAAATGCAAGACGTAGCGTTGAAATCGCGATAAGATAGTAAACAGCTTGGTTCCGGGGGCAAGGCTTCTGAAGACAGCAATAAGAATATCAATAGACTGAAAATAAAGTATTATTGAGCTTAGAATAATGCGTAGCACACGTTTGTCAGAACTTTTAGTGTCCTACAATGGCCGTTGAAGTCACTATTTATAGCTACACATAGGGAACAAGGTCCTAGGATTAAGCCCTCTTAAATGACAATTGTGGTGGCCATTGATGACGGCATGCTATGAATGCCAAAATTTTCTGTAACGGATTACATATTTATACTGAGGAATATTCTTCATTGAATGTCATCGGATGGCAAATATTCATTTGTCCTCATTAGCAATATCCTCTTCGGGGTCTGCCCGGTGCCAACCGAAGCTGCTGTCCCCGTTCGTGGTCTCCACTTGCCTCCTTTTCTGTCTGTCTCCGGTTCCACGTGTCGCCCTATTATTCGAGTATTTAATATGAACCGATTTTACCCTATACAATTATAAATAGGAGGATTAAATCCATTGTAGGCACGAATACTCTGCACACAAAAAGCTATAATCTACTTTCATAGTACGCTCGGTTTTAGTTTCTTGAACATTGCTCTCACTTTTGCCATCGAAAAGGCTAAGTTCTTAGTCAGGCTTGTAATCTTGTTTAACATAACAGTCCTACTTTTGTTCTTATTTACTTACTATTTTTGGGTCAAACCGATTCACTTATTTATAAACCACGCTATAAATTCAACTGTACCGTTTTACGGGTAAACATGTTTAACACAAAATGAGTAATAAGAGGAATGGAGAGTTTCGTGGAAGTCACACAAAATCGACAAGTCTATGACATTATATGTTAAGTATTATTGCAATACTTATGAAACATTAGGGACATCTCTGTTGAGAAAACAGACTCTTCATTGAGCATGTTAGATAAAAGATGCTCAAATGACTATATTCAAGTCCATAAACATTGCTATCATCAAACCAAACTACTAGCCACTACTATTCACCTTCTTGTTCATAACTTTTACTGGCATATTAGAAGGTGAACCCGAATTAATCGTTTCAGTAGATTTCGAATACCAGATGTCTAAAAAAAGAAAAAGGAGTGTAGTTATACATAGTATGAATGTTACTATAACCAAATAGCTTTAGCTTTCTTGAGCAAAGGAATAAGCCTTCCCTCTAAATGGAGGCTCATGATCTCATTGGCACCACCAATTAATTCTTGTCCAATGAAAACTGCTGGTACACTAGGCCTTCTCCCTGATGCCAACAGTGCCTTTTCCAATTGTAGGCCATTGGAAAGTTCATCTAATTCATATACAGATAAGTTAGCACCAAAACTTGATATTAGTGTCTTTATAATGTGACACATGCAACACTTGCTTTTGCTGAACATCACCACTGGCTTTTCTGCTACCATCTTTTTCACCGACTCCATAATAAGAGGAAGATGAGGGACAAAAAGTAAGTACTGATATTAATTTGATGAGGTGAGTTGATCAGTTGTTGAAGTGATGATGAAATTGAAATCCCCATTGAAGCTATTTATAGAATAACAGCGACGTGTGTACCTGCAATTAAATTAAAAGAAAGAGAAAGGAAAGAATAAATTCAAGGTCTCTTTCAGATAAGGCATTGAAACTGTTACATACGCAGGCATTCGAGATTCTTGATACTGCATTAAAGTGTCCAAAAAGAAATGCAATCCTTCTTATAATTAAGATCTTTACACGTATGGAGGTTAGTATGTGAACTTCGTCGCATATCTACTTTTTTGTTTTTCCAATTACCTTAAACATATTGAACTTTGATATATGGTAAGTAGTGTACACCGGGCGTCGGTTGGCGGAGTCAGGATTTTAAGTTTATAGATTATGAATTTGCATGCCACCAAAAAATTCGTAACTCGTCTTAGTTACGGGGTTAACAAATATATATATATATATATATATATATATATATATATATATATATATATATATACCCTTAAAAATGGATAACAATTAAATTTGTACGCGGTTGGATATGTGGTTTAATTTAACACAAATGNTATGGAAAGCAATATAATATATTACATAATTCAAAATAAATTAGAAATGATTCATAATTTAGAATCCTTAATATTAGGTGTCACGACCCAAATTTCCCACCGTCGGGACCGTGATGGCGCCTAACATTGTACTCGCTAGGCAAGCCAACGTTACAAATTATTTCGTCTTTTCACTTTATCTTTTAACAATTTACAAGTTAACATAAGTAAATCAGCGGAATAAAAATGAAAGAACAGAATTTAACAAGTTATCTTAATACAACTGCGAAACAATAATAAAAATCCACCCAGAACTTGTGTCACAATTTCACGGACCATCTACGAATACTACACATAACAGTCTGAACAAAGAAATACACATCTATTTTGGAAATAGATAAAACAAAAAAGAAAAACAGGATAGAAGGGGACGCCAAGGCCTGCGGACACCTGCAGGACTACCTCGGGTCTCCACTGGACTGAAGGCAGCAACCTCGAACTACGGTCCGCCACTAGCTCCGTAATCTGCACAAAAAGTGCAGAGTGTAGCATCAGTACAACCGATCCCAAGTACTGGTAAGTGCCGAGCCTAACCTCGACGAAGTAGTAACGAAGCTACGACGGGGCATATATATATATATATATATATATATATATCTATATATACCCTTAAAAATGGATAACAATTAAATTTGTACGCGGTTGGATATGTGGTTTAATTTAACACAAATGATCAAAGAACAGTAAATAGTTGAATTGAAATAAGATAGAACGATCAAACCAAAGCTAAGCCTTGCGTTTAAGTTAAATGCCAACGATCGCTGTCAATTGAGCCCTCGAGATAGAGCTCAGATCTGAATAAACGAGTAAATAACTGAAGAACGCTTAAAACGATTGCCGAGAGCTAAAGTAAATTTTATTGCCTTGTTATGCGTGAAAAAGTGAGCTCGAAAAATGAAGGGGATCCTCCTCTTTATAGAGTAGAGGAGATTTAACCCTAGTACAAGTCGAAATGAATTAAAAATCTTTTACTTCCTTCTTTCCCACGAAAATAAGATCTGCGGCCAATACCGAGCGTGATCCGCGCTGCAATATCCGGCTGATGGCGGATATTAATTCGGCTTCTCGTTTGTCTCCTTCAACCGCCTTTCCTTTACCCTTGATTCTTCTTCTCACTCGAGCTTGGTTCCCTCCAGGTTCAGCCGTGCTCGAGACCCATTATATCATTCGTCCATTCTTGGTTCTGATCTGTGGGTACCTTCGGGCTCACCCGAGCCAGTAACAAAAAACCTCGTTCCTCATTTCACAACGGGACATTGGGGATAACTCTATCCTCGATTTTACCCGTATATATAAGCAAAAGCTACTAGGTTCGGTTGAACTCGTACCTAATATTCTAGCTCCACGGGTGTTTACCCTTGAACTTGGTAAATATACTAAATAGTCCATTTCCCAGTGTCACACTTGTGTTCATTAAAGTGCACCACTTAAGTAGTGTAACATCCTCTTTCTGTCTTTCATGCATTACTTCTTAGTTCACCTCGTGCACTCTTAAATTCTTGTTCTAAAATACATGGGTTTGCAATCAGTAAATTTGAACTTTTGTAAAACAAATGTATAAGGATGATTGAATTGATGATGCTGTGACATGTCGGGGCATTAGCGATGAGGAAAAGAATGTTTGATTTCATCCACTAATGATATTCCTGTCCAAGTCCATTTCATAGTCTTGGAAATGATCATAAAAAAGATGAATAGTGATTTATCTATTTAGGGAAAATGGTCGTTATTCGTTAAAGAAGAAACTGTATGTCCAAGAATTATCCAATTACTAACACTTTTGTACTAAATCCTAGCCTATGACATATTCTCCACTAATTCAGAATCATAGGAGAAATAAAAATCTAATTATTCACAATAACAAATGCAATGAATTAAGAGTATTATATTGTTCTTATCATCATGTGATTCTTTTGATCGTTTTAAGATTCTAACTTAGCATTTGATTAGGTTGGTTAGTTTGTCGAGAAATAGATGTCCATTCTTTTGATTTTAAAAGATTCTTGTTGCTTAGGTGGTGCTGACCAAAAAGCACCAATTAATTAAGCAAAATATATATTAATAATTAATAGTTACAAGATTAAAGATTCTTTACCTATTTCAGAGGTTATGACTTAGGAGATAGAAACTTGAGATTTCTTCTGCTTGAAAAGAGCCCCTTGTTTCGCTTTTAGCATATGAATAAAGCTAACTAAAATTCCACCCGTGGATAAGTCAACGAAAAAGAGAAGCCTGTAATCGTATAAGTGGATGTTGATTAAGATTCTAGCCCTGCAACTTTAGGTGCAGCTGAAAATTTTGAATGTAATAGCTGCGCCCGCTAATATCTTAATAGTGATGGGGTGAGGAAATTTACCAAATAAAAATACTTTTGTAGGGGTAAAACTGGTTGTTGACAGCTGGACGAATGACGGTGTGACATGTGGCATTGAAGACAAGCGGAATATGAGTCAGCAAAACCGCTATTACTGATTGCAAGCTGCAAGCGATCTGCGCCGAACAAGCGCCGAAGACAGAACAGCCGATAGCAAAAAATTGCAGCATTGTCATCGGGTAACATTCATTGGACAACCGTAATCGAGAATATTTGCATTTAAGGCTGTTATTTTATACTTCAATACCACATAAAAGAGGGGGAGGGGTGATTTGTGTGGCGAACAATTTTTCGCTTAAACTGATTATGGAAGGACCTGGTTCTTCTATGTGTTCCTTTTGCTACTATTGCGGAATAATAAATGTAGAAAGTAAAGAACACAAGTATTTTTACGTGGAAAACACCCGGCTCAAAAGGTGAAAAAACCACGACCTACTACTCAGTAGGATTTTCCCCAATACTTCACTAAATCACTGAGCCAAAACAGCATTTACAAAGCTCTTTGTAAACCTAAGGATTACCTCTAATCCCGTTGTAGCAACCAGCCTCTAACTGTTGCGACAACTTCAAGTTAACTCTAACTTCAATACTCAAAATTACTTATTACAATTGCTTCTAGATAAAGCTGAAAGGTACAATATGAAAATACCTACTACAATTGAACTAAAAATAAAGAAAGACACATAAAACTCTTTATGGATCTGGTTCTTCAATCTGGTTCATGTAGCTTCAGGTTTGCACACTTGAATCACACAGGAACTGCTTGCAAAAAGTCTTGCTATTTTGCTTTCAATTCATGTTTAACTTCTGCGTTTTTGTGCAACACCTGTAAAAGAGAACAACACTAATATTTAAGGAGTTAGCAATTAGAGATTGACTAGGATACAGACGCTACTCTTCCATGGTGGAAGAGTTCTAGTTGATCTCATTCTCTAACTCTATCCTTTTCCTAAAACGTGTTCTCTTTGTGTAAGAAGTCTTTCTTCTTATCCAATATGCAATCTTTTCAATCATGATCAGGAGATATTACTTCTGATAAGTTAGGTTTATCTCCTTCACGCGCATCTCACATGTTTGGGTTGATCATAACTGTGCTTCACAAGATGGACCTGGTCCATGTTTAATTTCCTTTGTCAGTCTTCAAAACTTCACCTTTACTTGGGCCAACAAATTCCCCCTTTTGATGATGACAAACTCTGTGCTTTTCATTCACTTAGGCCCTGTCAGAACTCAGCGTATTCATCGTACAAAGTTTAGAAAAATTCACTTATCATCAAGGACCAGTTTAATTAGGTTATAAACATCACTTATTCAGAATATGTAAAGCACAATATCTCTTCCCCCTTTTGGCATTATCGAAAAGTTGCATAAACAAAGTGTGAGTCCCAGAATTTAATAAGTACTCATGGCCACTGGGACAACTGCAAGTGCAATCATGGATCAATCATCACTAATCAGGCAAACATATTTTAACTATCAAGGAAATATTAACAGTCAACAAGAGCAAAAATAGTAGATATCATTGATAGAAGATATGTTGCTACCATAATCCACAAAAAGAAAGCAAAAATATCCAAATCATGAGCAAAAAGAAAGAGAAATCCCTAATCTGGGTCACTGGTGGTACTAGACAGGTTCAGGAGATAAAGGCTAGAATTCCTAAGGCTTGGGGGAGCTAGAGGGTTGGTTTTGGGCTTGGAGAAGATTCAGCATATTGTGAAGAATCCCATCATTCTTCTCCTTTTCCTTGGTAAGCTCAATTCTGAGAGCATCCCTCTCAGATTCAACCTTTGCTAAGCGAGCCTTCAGCCTAGCTATCTCAGCATCCTTGGCCTCACTTTCCTGAACTAGAGCCCTGACTTTAATGTTGATAGGTGTCTTCTTGGAGAACCAGGTTTATTTGGAATGGCATTGACTAGATAGTCACAAGCAATCAGAGTATTAATGCCAAAATAGTCCTTGCTTGTGGCCATTTTCCACTTCTTCAGAGGCACCTTGCACCGATCCAGAACAGTAGTCAGAATAAATCCATA